AAAAAAAAAAAAAAAAAGTTTATAACTCCTACCTCCTAATGAGTCAAGTCTTCCAGCCTGACGAGTGCTCGATGAAGGTCAGATATTACCTGTATTTTGCTGTGTATAATGCTCACTTTTTTGCCCAAATTTTTGAGGGAAAATTAAGGATGTGCATTATACATGGGTAGTACTAATTCCACAGCTATATAAGTTTGGGCCAAAAACGTGGGTATGCATTATACATTCGAGCACATTATACATGTCAAAATACAGCCTTTTAGGAAATACTGAGCCCCAAACGGATGTCTGGGTCCATTTCTGCAGCTCCCTGGGAAGAACATGTCATTGGAATGGAGAAGGGGACCCCCTCACTCATCAGGCTCTCTGAAAGAAAGCAGGGAGACCCCATGCCTAATTAATCCTCGGGAGAGGCCAGATAGCTGCTCTAGGGGAAAGATCAGTGTTGATCCATGTTTTCTCAGATGTCACTGAGATTCTGGCATTTTGGCTCCAGAAGGGCTAAGGGTTGGGGGCACAGGATGTTAAAGGGCCCATCCCTGCCCCATCCAGCCCAGCCATGTAACACTAATGGTGGGAATTACTTCCTTAAGCCTGAAAAGACAACCACTACCAGAAAGAGAAATTGAACTGTTTATTGGCCCAGGTCTGGGTCTCAGGCATAAGGGGATGTTTGGGGAGCTATATGAGGGGGAGAGAAGTCCCTGACTGGCTCCTTGCTCCCCAAAGACCCCCTCCCCACACCCTTGGCATTCACAAGAAATTACTTTGAGGCTTGAGGTTCTCCTTCCCAATGTGAGCTACACTCAGCTCTCATCTGGGGGGATGAGCCAGCACTGGATCTGGGCAGGGTCAGATCCTCCCTTTGGCAGCTTCATCACGGACAAGAGGAGACAGAACAGGATCCATTCTGGGGGAAAGGAGATTGGGAGAGGACCTCACAGACATCACATATATGCACACTCACAGACACACATAAATATACATTTGTACCGTAAAATCCCTTCCATTTATCCACAGGATTTCTTAAAGTCCTTATGGGATAGGTTAGTGGACAGCATCCCCTGTAAATATCCTTGGCCACCCTACCTGTTCAGTATAATTTGAAAGAAGGCACAGAGGACTCAGGGCTGCCCTGCCTTAGGAGCCCTGGTACCTTGGCTGGGGCTGCAGGTGTGGAGGTGGGGATGGCTTAAGGGTGGTTGCATTTGGAAGGGGTAGGGTCCTGTGTAAACATTTCCCCCAGAATTTTTTCAAGTCCCACCCCACTCTCCACAGCAGCACCCCCTCCCCCCCGACCAACTGGTATTTCCCACCTTTGGTGATTCACCTATGACACAAATAGTGCCACTGACCAGAGAAGTCTGAGAATGGGGGATGGGTTCAGCCCCCTCCCTTCCTCCACCCCAAGTTTTCCGGGCATCTCATGGACTCAGAGGAAAGGGAAGAAATAGCCTGAGTGACAGCTGATGAAATTTGGGGAAGCTGTGAATTTAGGCCTAGGAGGACATGGAAGGGGACCTCCAGCTCCTCAGGACAGCAGTTCTAAAGAAGTGGCCTGAGATTGTCCAGAGAAGGTTGCAGGAGCAATACATTCAGAGAGGAGAGTTTGGTGCAGGGTGGGGAGTTGGATAGGAAATGTTGAAATCCTATGTACCAGGTGGTAAAGTGGCCCTGCTCTGAGTTCCCCTTGAATTCCCACCTCCTGCCACCCCACCCCTTTATGGGTATACCGTTGGCCTCCTCACAATCCAGTTCTAAAGTGGTCACGCTGGGCCTTGCACTGGGCCCCAGGACCCCATTGCAGCTCTGCTACCTGACTAGGTGGTGCCTCAGCTGGCCATGTGGGGTGTAAAATGCTTGCAATATCACCCAGGCCTTTGGGTGGGGGCATCTGGCTTGCCAGCCCCTTATCTCTGTCTGAGGTCACCTGGTGCCTTTCCCCCTCTGATAGCTGGTTGTCAGCCCATCTTGTCCTACTCAGACCACAGTGTTGCCCTCCAGGAACGTAGGTGATGTTGGCATGTGTGTGCCCCTCTCTAGCGAGCTGGAGCTACGCAGTGGCAGGAGGCGGTGGCCTGGGGTCCCACCCCGACGCCCTTGCACCCCTGCTGCTGCCTGCCGCCAGCACTGCAGTGGCCGCAGCACCTCCCGCCGCAGGTCTCGGCTGCGCCAAGTATAGATGACAGGGTTGAGCAGCGAGTTCAGTGTGGCAAAGGCAAAGAAGTAGTGGGCTTTATAGAGGACTGGGCAGGAGCGGACTGGACAGGCATAGTCCAGAAGGAGGATACTAAAGGCAGGCAGCCAGCAGATGATGAAGACGCCGAGCACAATGGTGACAGTCTTGAGCAGGGCCAACGTCTGTGAGCTGGCCACATCTGCATGGCTCGAGCGGACTACACAGTAGATGTGGACATACAGAACCACGATGGCCAACAAGATGACAGAGAAGATGGTCACCACACACAGCACATACTGCTTGGCGTAGAGAGGCAGGACGGTGGAACAGGCCTCAAGGTGGCCCAGGCAGTTCCAGCCAAGGATGGGCAGGCCTCCAAGAACCAGTGAGATGAGCCATGAGGCCCCAATGAGCAGCAGCATTCGGCAGCTCTTGTCACTGCCATAAAGCTTGACCTTGGCAATGGCCACATGCCTCTCGATGGCAATGGCCAGGAGGCTGAAGACAGAGGCAGAGAGCGTGATGAAGGCAGAGCCCTCGCGGGCAAACCACTGCACAGGTGTCAGCCCCAATGTGAAGGGGCCAGAGAGCAAGGTATTGGCTATAAAGGCCACACCTGCCAGGAGATCTGAGGCTGCCAGGTTGCCCAAGAACAAGTACATGGCCGAGTGGAACTTGCTGTTGCGTGCCACTGCTATGAGTACTAGCAAGTTCTCCACCACGATGGCACAGCAGAGGATGATGATGAAAGTTGAGGCCACCTGCCGGGAGGGTGTCTCCTGCGTTTCCAATGTCTCCTTAGTATAACTGTAGTGTTCCAGAACCTTGCTAGAGTTCAGGTACTGCGAGTACAAGCTGCCCATGTTGGAGCTCAATGGCCAGCCAGGGCCATGGGGCTCTCAGAACTGCAGAGAAGAGAGAAAAACAGACAACAGGTCAGAGAGTACTAGCTCCTGCCTGGGCTACGACCTCAGGCAGCTGAGGTTCAGGGTCCAGCAGGGTCACTCCTCACTGAATGGCCACATGGAAGTCAGAATTATCATCTATCTCTGGGTTTCACATTTGCTGATGGGAAATCCAAAGAGGTCATTTCACTTTCCCAAAGTCTCAAAGCTAGCAGGTGGCAGAGCCAGAGACTGGCTCTGCAGCCTCTATAACCCCTAGATAAGTGGTTCTCAACCTTCCTAATGCCTCAATGTATTTTCATGGTTACAAAAGGGTTGTGACCTACAGGTTGAGAACTGCTGCCCTAGATGATGCTCCTTTTTTATTTTATTGTTTTAGAGATGTGATCTCACTCTGTCACCCAGACTGGACTGCAGTGGCACAATCATAGCTCACTGCAATCTCAAATTCCTAGGCTTCAAGTGACCCTCTTTCCTCAGCCTCTTGAGCAGCTGGGACTACAGATAGACACCACCACATCTGGAAAAATTTTTATTTAATTAATTAATTAAGTTAGTTATTTGGCACTCTGTTGCCTCAGGCTAGAGTGCCCTGGCATCATAGCTCACAGCAACTTCAAACTCCTAGGCTCGAGTCATCCTCTTGCTTCAGCCTCCCAAGTAGCTGGGACTACAGGCACCTGCCAACATACCAGGCTAATTTTTCTATGTCTAGTAGAAATGGGGTCTTGCTCTTGTTCAGGCTGGTCTTAAACTCCTAAGCTCTAACAATCCACCCGCCTTGTCCTCCCAGAATGCTAGGATTACAGGCATGAGCTACCCTGCCTGGCCTAAATTTTACTTTTTTAGAGACACAGTCTCCCTCTGTTGCCCAGGCTGGAGTGCAATAGTGTGATCATAGCTCACCGCAATCTCAAAGTCCTATGCTCAAGAGATCCTCCCACCTCCCAAGTAGCTAGGACATCACCACAAGCCTGGCTAATGTTTCTACTGTTTTACAGAGATGAGCTCTGGCTATGTTGCCCAGGCTAGTCTTGAACTTCTGGCCTCAAGTGATCTTTTGCCTCAGTTCCCCAAGTAGTTATACTCTCTTTCAAAGGGACAGAAGCTCCTAGCATGAAGGATACAGGGTGGACTTCCAGAAACCTTGCCCATCTACCCAGAGAGCAGGCCTTGGGTAGAGGCTGGAGGGTTTGTCTCTTTTCCCAAAGACACAGGAGCCATGAGCCTTGTGCTGTCTGGTGACCTAAGTCTGAGAGGTTCTTGCCACTGATAGCACCCTCCCCTGCTCATTACCTCTGACTGCCCCTGATTTTGCCTAAGCCTTGAGGCCTTAGTTGCTCCCAAGATAAGGTCTTGGGGAGACACTAGAGTGGTCCTGAGGTTTAAACTTCCCAGAGGTCACACTGTCTTCAAGGACACAGATGTTGGAGGCAATCCAGAGTTGGCTCTCACTGCAATGCTAACATGCTGGGCAATGTCACTTAACACTCTCAGACTGGGCGCAGTGGTTCACGCCTGTAATCCTACCATTCTGGGAGATTGAGGAGGGTGGATTGCTTGAGCTCATGAGTTTGAGACCAGCCTGAGCAAAAAGAGGGACCTCGTCTCTACAAAAAATAGAAAAAACTGAAGCAAGGGGATCACTTGAGCCCAAGAATTGGAGGTTGCTGGGAGCTGTAATGATATCATGGCACTCTATCCAGGGCAACAGCTTAAGACTTTCTCTCAAAAAAACAAACCAAAAAAAAAAAAAATAGCCTCTTAGCCTCAAGGTCCTCATCTGTGCAATGGGGAGAAGAAAGTCCACTTCACAGGAGTAATAGGTAAATCCTTTTAAATGATGTAAGAGGCATGCTTGGCACATAGCAAGCATTAAACAAAATTACCTAATGTTATTAGATCCTCTCTTCCTGCCACACACAGGACAGCTCTGGATTTGGTGGTCCAACCACAATCTTTTGGAAGGGGAGGGGATGCTGACTAAACCAACCAGGGAAGATGCCTGAAAGCCTGTTCCTGTCAACACCCTGTAACTCTGCCCTGAGGCACAGAGTCCCAGCAGGGTGGGCAAGGCAATGGCACCCCCTCCCCACCCAGGATAAAAACCAGATGTGAGGCCCTGGGAACAAACAGGGTGGAGTTCTCCCTCTCTAGTCCCATCCAGTGTAAAGAAGGCTGGAGTGTGTGTGTGGGGGGGAGAGGGTGTCTGGGATGGGGGAGACCGGTCTGGGAGGTCCTGGCTAGGAGGATTGGGCATCTGTGCTGAAGTCATGTGAGCCAGCAGGAGTGAGGGGGGGTGAAACTCCGCGGGGGAGGGGGGCCATGGCATTTGGTGACAAAGCCTGTGTCACCCTCCTCTCAAGGAAAACTGAGCAGTGGGGGGGGAAGCAGGATAAGAAGCAGAGAGGATGAGTCGCAGATGCTATGGCCTTCCCCCAGCTTGGGGGTAGAGTAAAGGGGGTCTTGGAAGAGCCAGTGCAGTGCAGTGTCTACCGTTCAGAAGTAGGTAGGTATGAGGGAGTCTGCCCCAGATCCCTAGAAACATGCCTGGCAAGGACTCAGTGCACTGTTCCAGAAAAGTCTGGTTAGGCCGGTTCCTAGTAAGCTTAGGAGTGATAGGGGGCTTCCAGGGTCGCCCAGCCATCTCAGTCCCCAGCCGCCCCCTGGAGGGGCGTCCTGCCTCCCCAGCACGTCTTCGAGGCAGCTTCTCCCCCGGAGTGGAGGGACATCCGTCCTAGTTTGGTAACAGACAAGGTCTTGTGCGCTTCTCTAGGGGACCGCTGCCCCGCCCAGATCGCCACACAGAGGCCCCTTGTTTCCTTGCTGGACGTAGCCTCGAGGCGGCCTGATGCCCTCTATCCGCTGTAGCCAGTCCGCAGCTGACTTGGCCTCACCCGAACGGCTCTCCGGCCGCACACAGCCCACGCCCTGATTGGTTCATTTTCAATCCCCGGGCGCCGAGCAATTTGTCTATTGGCCTGATGGTCCATTTTCGACCTTTGATTGGCCCAGCTGGGGGCGCTCTTCGGCCCTCCCTACTGAACCAGCGACTGGAGCTCTGCGCTGTCGGAGGACGGAATTAAGGCAATGTTGATGTCCCTGGGGGGAGCCTGAACTGCGGCCTAACCGGTGGGTCACCACGACGAGACGCCCTAAGGCTGCCCTGGCCTGCTGGGCCCTTCCTTGAGCTCATAAATGAGAATCAAGGCTCCTTTGCTGGCCTGGGAAGCGCACTCGCTGGTGGGCAAGAAACCCAGGGTCTGTCTCACTGCCCCTTTGACTGTTCACCAAGAGAAAGATTTACTGCCGCTTCCTGGAGAATTAGTGTTCAGCACTTGCACCCCAAGGATTCACCAAAAAGTCAATCTTATATCTTATTCCCTGGAGAAAAGACAAGGGGGGTGGAAGGGGATGCTGCAGTCCCACTTTTTGCAGCCCCATGAGGCTAAGGCACCCACAGAGAGAAGAGCAGCTCTCCTAAAGAAAGGGAAACTGGGGCCTACACTATATCCAAGCCTCATCTTCCCTACTATGACTTTGTTAAGGCAGGAGCTTAGGCAGTTAAGGCTTCCCAGAAAGAGGAAGCAGGGCAGGTTGGAACTGGCAAAAGAGTCACCCCCTAGACAGATGGAGGCCTGGTCTGCTTCCTCTGCCCTGTGTTGGGCTCCAGGGTTCAGGAGAGGACAGTGAGCTTATTTCCTAGTCCACCTTCACTAAAGCAATCCTAACTCCCTCCCAGAGATTCGAGAAGAGGCATCTGGACTCAGAACAGGAGATGGAATGTCCAGGCCTGAAAGGCAACAAGGACAAGTGACAGGACTTAGAGGGAAGGAAAGAGAGATAGACTGGAAAGACTGTTTGGCCAGAGATTAAGCTACAAGAAGGCTGGAGGAAGGCTCAGTGGCTTCGAAGTTCCTCTCCATCTCCTCCCAGTTCCAGAGAGACAGATCTGTGGTTACAGTTCCTCCTGGTCACCCAAAGATTGCATGCCCTTTGCCACAGGGCAGCCCCCTCCCCATCTTTTGGTCCTTCCAACAGACCCCCTCCTACACTGCTATTCTCCACTAGGCAGTTTTTTTTTTTTTT